GGGATCATGACCTGAGCCGAAGGCAGACGCTTAACGACTGAGCCACCCAGGGAGCCCTAAATAAATAAAGTCTTAAAAAAAAAAAAAAAGAAAATAACAGGAACTTAGAATACCACAGTGGCTAATTGGCAGCTGGAGGAAGAAGACCAAGGGAAGCTAAGAGTGGATTGGGGGTCCTGCAATCAGTAGAGAGTAGCTATAGAACTCTAGGACAATAGTACGTAGTTGCTTGTTGTACTATAAAGAGCTCCCATACTCCCATTAATTGCGAGTTATCTAGTAGAAGTTGGTTATATACAATAGCCTTGCGTTAGTAGTGTTGGTGGGTGGATTTCAAGGAGAAAAGTCTATAGGTTCTGTGTTAGGTAGGCTTGGGATGGAGAGAGTATAGCACCTATAGAATGTGATAATGTGAGTGAGATCAAGAGTCCAGGGGAACAGAGAAAACAAAAATCAATCACAAGAGTATAAAACACTCAGGAATCCTCAAATTTTGGAGGAAGTATTGATTTATGTTCATATAGTGTATGGTCTGGGGTCTGAACTATTTTTGTTAAATATTAAAGGAAAGGACAACCCCAGAATGCCAAAAGTCTTAGGTTACCCAGGTAGGAGATGTGGATTCTTCTATAACAGAATTTTGAAGTAAGGAGTGAAATAACTAGCAGAAGGCATAGCACCCTGTTATAGGTACTATTTTATCATCTTGTTTTTGTATTTGGTTTGGTTTTTTTGAGTAATAATGATATGTGGAGAATATGTTCATCTTTATGAGTGTTCATAATGAAGAGGAAAGAATTATGCCATTGGAAGTTGCAAGGAAGTTCAACAAGCATTTGCTTCATTAAGATATGGCAAAAGAAATACGGAAAATAACTTGATGACAGTTCTGGGAGTGTCAGGTAGTTTGGTTTCTGAAATAGGATATTGGTGCATTAGTTTTTTCTCTCGTGATTAGTAATCTGATAATTGAACTGGGCGAAAAGTAGTGACTAGCATAATTTTTGATAGAGGAGGTTTTTGATATTGCAGAGCTATTGTGAAGATTATGGAAATGTAGTATTAATAGTCACTTAACACCTTCAAAGTAATGTTGCCCTGAATATGACCTTGATGATTAGGATAATTTTTTTTCACACTAGATGTTTATATTTTCCAGGTTGAATTTCCTCCAGAAGTACATATATAGGAGTGGGAGGTTGTTTTGAACTTCCCTTATGAAATAAATGGTGCCTATAACTATACTGATTGCCTCAGTCTCAACCAGGAATTACTCATTAAGGTTTTGATAAGCCAGATAGAGGCCAAAATAGTAATTTCAGATTCTGTAATGTTTATTTGGCCACTAGGGACTATTTAAATAGATTTTAATAATATTTGTTTGGGAGATTTGTGATAGGTATCTATTATTGTGTAGAAGCAAGGAATAAATTTTGAGCAAGAGCTAGTGAATCTGTAAATAGTTGGCTACTGCATTCTCATTGGTTGATACTGGACCTCTTTCCAGAGAAGGGAGTTTTTTAAGTGGAGAGCAGATATAAACAATATGGCCTTCTCCATTGGATTAATTTATGTATGGTCGAATACGTTGCACTGATCGAATTCAAGAGTTTGAGGGCTGAAGCCTTGAATTATTTTAGGACTTAAGCTATGATCTAAGAACTTAGGACAGGGACTCAATCTACAGTAAGTGCCAGGAATTCCCTGGGGAGTGTAAGGGGGGTGTTAGAACCATAATCAAGAGGAGAATGAGATTAAATACCAAGGAAATAAAAAAACAGAATGTAAGAAGCAGATCCTAATCAGAAGATAACTTAGCATCAATTGGTCTAACACTTCTTTGGGTCAAATATTTACCTTGCTTTGCAGTAATTTAAAAGCCTGCACCTGACATAGCTTACCAATTTTCAAGAATCAGAATGAATCAAACCTACCCAACACCAAAATTATATTGTGTATAATTCTTCTTTGACTCAGAAGGCACATTAAAAGCTTGCATCTTTTTTTCAGGGTCTTCGCTTATGCATATAATTGAGCAGTTGATCTCTTATGCATAGACTAAAGAATAAACCTAGTATTTTTATAGGTAGATAGGTAGGTAGATAGGTAGATAGTATTTTTATAGGTAGATAGATAGATAACTCTTGGTCTTTTTCACCTTGGATGTCAAGCAAACTCAAGCATTTGGAGGCAAGAACTACTGGGAAAAGCATTTTCTACCTCTGTGCACAATTGGAATGACATTATTTGAGGTCACTGCCTCTGAACCCATCCTCTGTCATGCACTGCCCAAGAAGGAAAATGGTCTTAGAAAGAGGCAAGGGCAAGAATGGTAGGAAGTTATAATTATGAGAGTTCTGGGCACCTATAAGGTCCTAAGTAAATGGTTTTCTGCTATCCACAGTGTAGACATTGCATTATTCTTTACAGCCTTCAGTATATTTTATTCATTCAAAAATAATTTTTAAGTGCTGGGAAGTAGATACTTTGCTAGGCATTGGGGAAACAAATGACATTCTCTGCTCTTGAAGAGCTCATGATCTGGTGAGGCAGATAAGAGTTAAAACTTGAAATTCTACCTATGGTAAACTCTCAAAAAACTGCTTATTAAAATATTATCTTGATTACCTAGCTTTGGGGCTTAAAATGTGACTAATTTCTTTTGATGGGAAATTCTTTTATTAAGGAGAAAAGAAAATAATGGTCTTAGTCTTATGTTTAGTGTGTACTGAGTTATTAATTCACAATTCCAGGTATTATTCAAGACCTATAATAGCTGGCCCTCCACTCCTCCTTCCACATATCTCTGTGTTGTTTTCATATTAGAATAGGATGAAAGTAATATTTGTGTTCAAAAAGAAATACAGTATTTGAACTTACTCTATCTATTACAGGTAACCACAGGGTGGATATTAGAGATATTATATTTACTTTGGATGAACTACAGCACCAGTATGAGAATTTTTGTAAGTGAGCTCTTGTTGCTATAACAAGCTTTGTTTATAAATAAATTGTCCTTAAACCCTAATTTATAGGTTTCATCATATGAGTTTTAAAAGCCTTCTCTGAAACCATTGCTCTAACTCTTAAATTAGGGAGATAAAAGTTTAATTCCCTAAATAGACTAATTAAAATTAGTTATATAACTATCTCATAATTTTCTACTTTTATCTTTCCCTTAATATTTTACAACACAAAGTAAACTTTAAAACAAATTAATAACACTGAAGAAAGATATTTAATTTGCAAATTGTGGGTCATTCTGACATCCTGACATTGACAGTTAAACATTTTTAGTATATTCTTCACTATCATTCATGATTTAGTTCAGTTTTTCTTCATTAAATATATATTTTTTAACTCTTCCAATCACATCATGTCATTCCTTATTCTTTCTCTAATTTGTTCAAATATCCTTTGATCAAGATTATCTATGTATATAATTTTAAGAATTATATAGTCGTAATAAGCTTACTGCAAATAAAGCAGCCTCTCGCCTGATCCTTTCCTCAGCATCTCCAGAGGTAAACATTTTAGATGTTTTAGATGATTACTTGACATTTGTCTTCATGACTATAAGTAACATGTTTGTATTGTTACTTGTTGATTTTTAAAATTTGGGGTAGACGTAGTAAACTTCCTAATATGAAAAATAAGGATTTAGCTCTGTTTCATCTTTCTTGTCTCCACCACATCGACTTACTCTTCCCATACCTATTCACACTCCCAATATAGTTACATGGTAATTTGATTAAGTTTTAATTCAGTATTTATGCTAATATGTTTATATAAACACTATTCATAGCTGAACTATATAGTATCTTGTAGCTACTTTCTTTTTCTCTGCAAATTTTTCCCTCTTTGAATTAATAATTGTCTTATTTATTTATTTGCTTGGTTTAAATATTTTATTTATTTATTTATTTATTTATTTATTTTGAGAGGGGGAAGAGGGGGAGGAGCAACGGGAGGGGGAGAGAGAGCGAGAGAGAGAATCCTAAGCAGTCTCCATACCCAGCATGGAACCCAACGTGGGGCTTGATCTCATGACCCTGAGATCATGACCTGAGCCGAAATCAAGAGTCCAACAAACGCTTAACTGAGTCACCTGGGTGCCCCTATTTCCTTGATTTTTAAATAAGTATATTTATTGCTGATTGAACCCTGAATTCTGCCAACTGTCTAAATATCCTCTCCATAAGTCTACATGCACCAGGTATTCTATTAGTTTTGTCTTCTTGAGGAAATCTTCCTTAGAGTATTCTGATGTTCTTCAGAATGGATTAGTTTCCCTGTACATCTTGTGTGCAGCTGTTATCCTGGGATCTTTCTTCATTAACATTCTGGAGACTTTTCACTTCTCTCCTCCTGTATCAGATTCTGTCTTCACATCTGATTGATAGTTTGGGTATAGAATTCTAGATTGTAAATAATTTTCTGGATTTTCTAGTATTCAATATTGCTGTTGATGTCCAAAAATTTCTGACTCCTGACTCTTTGTATGAAACCGATTTTTGTTTTTGCAAGCTTATAGGATATTTTCGTTGTGTATAGTGCTGTGAAATTTCATGGTGGTGTACCTTGAAATAAGTTTCTTTGCTGTGATTGTGTTGGATACAGTGTCCTCTGATTCTAGAAAATTAAAACGATTTATTAACGATTTTCTTTCCTCTATTTTTCTGTGAAACTCTTATTATTTGGATATTTGACATTCTGGATTGATTCCTTTTTTTTTAAAGATTTTATTTATTTATTTGACAGAGAGAGACAGCGAGAGAGGGAACACAAACAGAGGGAGCGGGAGAGGGAGAAGCAGGCTTCCCGCTGAGCAGGGAGCCCGATGTGGGGCTCAATCCCAGGACCCTGGGATCATGACCTGAGTCGAAGGCAGATGCTTAATGACTGAGCCACCCAGGCGCCCCTCCTTTTTAAAAAAAAACAAAAACAAAAACCCTTTTCTCTTGTCTCTTTGTTATGCTTCCTGAGAGATTTCCTTAAATTTATCTTCCAATGCTTCTATTTAGTTTTTCACTTGTAGTTTTTAAATTTCCAAAAATTGCTCTGTTCTCGGATTTGAGAATGGTAAGCTAAAAAGCTATTTGGAAGCTCTGAGATTGAGGGTGGAACTAGCTGACTATGAGCTGTGGAATAGTGGTTCTTAACCAGAGGTGATTTGGGGATTTTTTTTTTCCCTCCTTCCTCCCTCCCCCAGGAACATGTGGCAGCATTTGGAGACATATGTGGTCATCACAATCTGTGTTACTGGCATCAGGTGATGAGAGGCCAGGGGTGCTTCTAAATATCCTACAATACACAGGACAGCCCCCCCTCAAAAAAGAATTATCCATCTCCAAATGCTAGTACTGCTGAGTTTGAGAAACCCTGCTAGAGGGTGATCTGGCTGGGTTCTTTGCATAGAAAACCCTTGATATCACTATCTTTAGAATATTTTTCCTTTTGACGGTCGGAGTGTTCAAAGAAGTTTCTTATATCCTTCCTGGAGGTATAGCCTTGCTTACTAAACTTCTAGGTGCTAAATGAGACAAAAGACTGGAGTTCCCATTATTCAGTGTAACCCCCCTGCTATTTTTCCATATAATACTCCTACCCTCTATTGTGTTTAGTATTCCATAATTCCAGAGATCCTGTGTTTAACCCTCTCTGATAAATTGTCAGTCTCCTGCTGGAGTGGGAGAAAAATGAACCATCTGGTTGTATGAAGGGAATCTAGGTATCAAACCACTACTTAAATGGACTTTTATCCAATTCTTTATTTTTAGCTTCATTCTTACCCTCACTTTTAGAGGTATCTAAATGCTACTAACTTATGAGCATTTGGAGGTTTTGTGTTATGAATTGGGTTGCTTCTTGGCTTTCCACATTCTACTTTATGGTTCAGCCTTTTCAGGTCTACTAAGTTCATCAACATTCCAGCTTCCAAAATTTAATTGCAGTTGTTTTTTTCATCTGTTCTTTTTATTATTATGGATTTATGATGTTTTAAAATTCTTTTAGTTTTAATGGGGTTTTTGAAGGCTGTTCAGTTTGCTGTCATTACCTGAAAGTTTCAAAGTTTATTTTGAATTCTAATTTTGTCTTTGGTTTAGAATTTTTTCATTAATTTTTTTTCTTACATAGATATTACTAGTAATCACATACCCACTCTCATGCATGATTCTACTAATTTATGTTATTCATTTCTTCTGTATCTTTGCTAATTTTTTACCAGTTCTATTATGGAGAAAGGAATATTGTCTCCAAATATAATTGTGGATTAGTCTATTTCTCCTTTCAGTTTTGTCAGGTTTTGTTTCATGCATTTTGAAGCTCTGTTACTAGGTGAACTCACATTTAGGATAGTTATATCTTTTTATTAAGACTTATTAATTTATTTGAGAGAGAGAGAGAAAAAAAAACATGTGGGGGGGAGGGGCAGAAAGAGAGGGAGAAACTCAAGCAGACTCCACGCTGAGTATGGAGCCCCCTGCAGAGCTCAATCCCATGACCCTGAGATCACGATCTGAGCTGAAACCAAGAGTTGGATGCTTAACCAATTGTGCCACCCAGGCACCCCAGGAGAGTTTTCTCTTCTTTGTGAATTGACTCTTTATCATTATGTAGTATGTATGTAATCACTGGTAATTTTCTTTTCTCTGAAGCTTACTTGTTCTGATTCTAATATAACTCCAGTTTTCTTTTGATTAGTGCTTACATGGTATATATTTTCTATCCTTTTACTTTTAACATTCCTATATCACATATTTGAAGTTTTTGTAAACCACATAGAGTTGGGTGATATTTTTGTATTTATTTTAATAATCTCTATTTTAATTGGAGTGTTTAAATCATTTTTTCAATGTTATTTTTTTAATTTAAATTCAGTTAATTGACATACAGCATATTAATAGTTTCAGAGGTACACTTCAATGATTCATCAGTCTTATGTAACACACAGTGCTCATTACATCATGTGCCCTCCTTAATGTTCATCATCCAGTTACCCCATGCCCCTACTCCCCTCACCTCCAGCAACTTTCAGTTTGTTTCCTATGGTTAAGAGTCTCTTATGGCTTGTTTCCCTCTGATTTTGTCTTGTGTTATTTTTTCCTCCCTTCCCCAATGATCCTCTATTTTGTTTCTTAAATTCCACGTTAGAGTGAGATCATATGATAATTATCTTTCTCTGATTTTTATTATCTTACTTCGCTCAGCACAATACCCTATATTTCCATCCATGTTATTGCAAATGGTAAGATCTCATTCTTTTTGATGGCTGAGTAGTATTCCATTGTATATATACCACATCTTCTTTATCCATTCACCTGTCGATGGACATCTGGGCTCTTTCCACAGTTTGGCTGTTGTGGACATTGCTGCTATAAACATTGGGGTGCATGGGCCCCTTCGGATCACTACATTTGTATCTTTGGGATAAATACCTAGTACATCAATTGCTGGATTGTAGGGTAGTTCTATCTTCAACTTTTTGGGGAACCTCCATACTGTTCTCCAGAGTGGCTGCACCAGCTTGCATTCCCACCAACAGTGTAAGAGGGTTCCCCTTTCTCTGCATCCTCGCCAACATCTGTTGTTTCCTGACTTGCTAATTTTAGCCATTCTGACTGGTTTGAGGTGGTATCTCATTGTGGTTTTGATTTGTATTTCCCTGATGCCCAGTGATGTTGAACACTTTTTCATGTGTCTGTTGGCCATTTGGATGTCTTCTTTGCAGAAATGTCTGTTCATGTCTTCTGCCCATCTCTTGATTGAATTATTTGTTCTTTGGGTGTTGAGTTTGATAAGTTCTTTATAGATTTTGGATACTAGCCCTTTATCTGATAAGTCATTTGCAAATATCTTCTCCCATTCTTTCGGTTGTCTTTTGGTTTCGTCGACTCTTTCCTTCGCTGTGCAAAAGCTTTTTATCTTGATGAAATCCCAATAGTTCATTTTTGCCTTTGCTTCC